TCTCTCTCTCTCTCTCTCTCTCTCTCTTCCACTTCTTTCCATTTCTTCCTCGTCCTTTCTTTGTGTTTTCTTCCTCTTTTCTTCTCCACCAGAATTGTTGCTAGGATAAGCAAGAGAGAGAGGAGGGAGCGGGGGGAGGAAGGGAGAGATTAAGACCAACCGGATGGCGCGGATAAATGATCTGGTACTTGGTGATCCATCTCTCCAGCGCATACAAAGGATGATTACGATAAGCCTGTTTCGAAAAAACAGGCAAACAAACAGCAAACATACAGGAAGCAAGTTAAGGCATGCACAAATGTGTGTAGGACAGCTCACTGACAAAACTTTAAAATTTCACAAGAATCATAGTAGATATAAAAAACTACTAGAATCCCATGTTCCATCCACTGGAACTGTAGTGGAATACCTACGACCATAGACTCCATAAAGTCCATAGTCCTCTCCGATCTTCGATGTGAAAAAGGATAATCTGTGAAAACAGATCTACCGCCGGCGCTGAGGGATTAGTCAAATTAAGTCAGCAATCCAAAGTTGCAACCCACTAGACATTGCCACGACTTCGTTGGCCACCAAACTCGTTCCATGTTTGCTCAGAAGTGGTCCAGGTGCGGAGAACCGCCTCATAGCTACATGCTGAATCCCCTTCTCCCCCTTTCCACAACCCTACCCCCTACCTTCTTCCCCCGAATACAATGTACGGTCATTATAGCTGTATTTAGACCGAAAGATACCCCAAATACAGCTATAACGACCGTACGTTGTGTTCAGGGGGAAGAACGTATCACCCCCCCCCCCCCCCCCCCCCCCCCGCCCTGGCCACACACACACACACACCCCATTGAACGAAAAACCCCTGTTTGATGAGCCATCTAGAAGTTTTGCCTCTGAGTAGTCAGGCCCCACTGGCACTTGTACTCCAGAAGACTAGGTGGTTGGGGGGGGGGGGGGGGCACAAATGGATATCTACATGTATTCTTTAACAAAAACAAAATCAAATTAAAATTTCGGGACATCCGTTAAAATTGGAACGATACAGAGAGAGAAGATTAGCATGGCCCCTGCGCAAGGATGACACACATTTTTTGCTAATAAATTTAGAAAATTGAAACAAAACAAGAAAAAAAAAAGCTGTAGTCTTCTGCATGCAGACGACCTGGATGTTTGTGGGTGTGGTAATGCCTGCAAGTGTGCCTGCGCAAGGATGACACACATTTTTCGCTAATAAGATTAGAAAATTAAACTTATTAAAGCAAAAAAACTTAAAAAAAGAAAAAAAACAAGCTGTAGTATTCTGCATGCAGACAACCTGGATGTTTGTGGGTGTGGTAATGCCTGCCAATGTGCCTGAGACGTGATGCACGAGAGACAGTGGGTGCTTTGGATGCTTTAACCACAAACGCGCTGTAACATCCCTGTGCCTTCTTTAGCTATCTCCTGTTTGCCTTTAGGGGACAACAATAGGCAGTCTGTGCTGCTGCCTCCGAAGCTATCCGTTGTTTGCCTATAGGAGCAAGGCTTAGTGGTAGCCGTACAAACTGCCTAATGTCAAAAACCCTACCTGTTCAGATGCAGCTTCCCCCAAACATAACGGATGTTAATCACAAACATATCCAGACGATGTTTCCGGTCGCATACGTTCATGATGAGAGTGCCTACCATCTCCACCAGAATAGGACGCCTGGACATTACAGCACTATTCGGTGGAATTTTCATTCTACATAATGACCAAGCGTTTTATTCCGGTGAAGACAGTAGTTGACGCCCACTAGGATCTGAGGACCACCGGCTGACACTGATTACATTGCAGGAGTCTCTCTCTCTCTCTCTCTCTCTCTCTCTCTCTCTCTCT